TGGTGGTGGTAGTAGTAGTAGTAGTGCTACTAGTACTAGTAGTGCTAGTAGTGCTACTACTAGTAGTAGTAGTAGTAGTAGTAGTAGTAGTAGTAGTAGTAGTAGTAGTAGTAGTGGTCGTGGTAGTGGTAGTAGTAGTAGTAGTAGTAGTAGTAGTAGTAGCAGTAGCAGTAGTAGTAGTAGTAGTAGTAGTAGTAGTAGCAGTAGTACCATTGCCCGCTGCATTTAATGGTGACTGGGGGCCAGGACCACCGTCGTCCTTTCCTCGGTGCCAGCAGCTTAGCTCTCTTCCGGCAAACGGGACGACATGTGGCAGTCTTGTTACCGTCTGCTCTGAGTGGTGGAGAAGAAGCAGCAGTAGTGAGGGTGGCGGTGGTTGTTGTCGTCGTCGTTGGTAAAGTCACGGTCGTAGCCGTAGTCGTAGTCGTCGTAGTCGTCGTCCTCGTAGTCGTAGTGTTCATTGTAGTTGTCGTAGTCGTCATAGTCGTCTGCTATGGTCATCGTAGTCGTCGTAGTCGTTGCAGTCGTCGTCGTCGTCGTCGTAGTAGCAGCAGCAGCAGCATCGGCAGCAGCAGTAGCAGTAGCAGTGGCCGTAGCAGTAGCAGTATGAGTAGCATTAGAAGTAGCTGTAGCAGCAGAGTAGGAGCGGGAGTGGGGGTCCCGGGGCGGGGGGGGGGGGCGGCAGGAGTCGCAGTTGCTGCAGAAAGGGTGATCAGCCCAACACTGACTCTGCATTTTGCTTTTCAGGGCGACAGGGGAACGGAGGGTGAGTTGGCGCGTCCTGAGCTTGCCGCAAGTTGGTGTTGCCAATGCGGCTCTTGTCGGGGGTTGCTCAGCTTGGGTCGAGTTTGAGGAGGTTGAACCTGCAGCACATGAAAGCATGATGCGTGAACGTGATCTCGAGGACGTATATGTATGTCATCAACTTCTATTACAAAGATTCAGACATATGATAGGACGGTCTGGTCAGTGTTTGTGCTCAGATTCAGCTGGACAGAAGCACTATCGAGGACCTTCGGTCAGGTTTCTCGAAGCGAGATCAGTGTTCCTGGTTCTGAGAGGTGCCTTTAGAGCACCGGGCTGATGTGGCATGCTGATAAGCCTTCCCTGTGTGGATTGCCTGTCGGAAGGAGAAGTCCGGTATGCATGGGGACGTCGACCAGGACACTGATGTAGTCCACTTTTCAGACCTTGCTTTGTCAACAGCACCTCGAATCGCAATGAAGATACTCTGGGTGCTTCAGCCGGTCATACTCATACTGTACTCACACTATCTGATGGTGATACTCTGGTCGTAGACGCTTCGCGTCGTCCGCCTCGGCCCGGTCGCAGGTGAAGAGTAGTCTCCACAGCAGGGCTCAACTAGCAGGGTCAGAGTGCGCATGACGACGAATGTGGGACAAGTGGGAAGAGGAGGCGGGAGGGGGGCCCCCTGTGCCGCCCAGTGGAGCGGCCGGGGCGATGGGGCCACCCACTTCCGCAGTCAGAATTTTTGAGGTTTCATTTCCCTATAGGCCCTAAACCCCTAAACCCCAAAGAAAGCAGCTGAGTAGACGTGCACGTGTTTCGGCGCGCTGGTGGGATGCGTGTATCAGTGTCGGCATCGGTCGGCGGGTGGGTTGGTTTGTGTTAGGTGCAGGTCTGCGAAGGCTTGTAGGAATACCTGGATACCTGAGTGAGCAAGTGATCATGTGGGTAGTTCTCTGAATCAGGGTCCCTTTTAGGATCCGTTTCATAAGGGCGCCGCCTTCTTTTGCAGACAGGACCCTAATTTAGAGAACTACCCATGGTGACAAGTTCTGCATTGACATGGTTCTATAAGATTACACGGGCTTGCCAAACCCAACGGTCATGTCGGTGAAACCCACGTGTTCAAAGACGCTTAGGAGGTCATGTCGATTGCAAGCCTGCTTCTTGCACTGAGCGTACACGTGCATGGTCGTTGAGTGCAGCCCTTGTGTGTGTGTGTGTGCCAGGTTGTATCAGGTCGTTGAGCGCAACAGTCTAGCCAGTTGTAAGTTGAGAAGCGCGGTCGGTCATTCAAGGACCGAGTAACAGTTCGGTTCTGGTAGCCGGAAATTTCAACAAAAGCTTGGAATGACGATTTCTACAACAAGACAAACCAGTACGGCAACGGCCGGCAACACCTGACAACGCCATCTATGTGCGTACGTCTTGTGACCTCGTGCAAAACTATCGATGGAATCCCTCCCGCATCTCGCCGCGACATCAGGCCCTCCCTGAGCCTATCCTGGCAAACACTGAGCCTTTACAGCTCTTGTTTGTTCTGGTGCCGCTTTGTACCAAGCAGGCCACATCGCATCACCACATGTGGGTGGAGAGATGTCTGAGCACACCAAGGGCAAGCACTGACGTTTGGATACGTTGACAGGAGACGGTGGCAGAGCACACTCTGAACACTGATTCCGTAGCGCTCGTGCTACTGTGCCTGGCTTGGAGCATCTTGGCATTAGAGCATGCGCTTGCCAACTAAAGGGCCTTCAGGGCATATTCTTCAGGGAGGCAAGCATTAGCTGACTGCTGTATTTGGACGAAGCCGTATACCCCAAGCCCCAGGCCCTGAAACAGATGCGGGCCAGCGCGCGGACTTGTGCAGCTGCCAAGGTAATCGAACCATGTCCTTCGATCCAGAGGAAGAAAGAATCTACAACACCTTCACCAAGGCCGGCGCGTCATTGGCAGTCCATCCATAGAGTCAGTTGCTGACATCTAATTACACATGCACGTGTCTGTATGCATGTATGCATGCATGTTTATGCATGTTTAGGTGCACGTATATGTTTTATATGACTGTGTAAATACATATTATATAGATATATAGATGCACGTATGTGTGTGTATATATATATATATGCATGTAACATATATAAAAAAGAACAACAAGGGTATGTATGTACGTTTGTATATACAGATGTTTTTATGTCTATATATATATATGTATGTAGTATGTATGTAGTATTTATGTATGTACCTATGTACGTATGTATCTATGTGTGTGTCGATAAATATATATATGTGTCTGTCTGCCTGCCTACCTGCCTGCCTGCCTGGCTGGCTCGCTGGCTGCCTGTCTGTCTGTCTGTCTGTCTGTCTGTCTGTCTGTGTGTCTGTCCGTCGGTTGGTCTGTACGTATGTATGTATATGTACGTATGGTTACGTATGTACGTACGTATGTATGTATGTATGTATGTATGTATGTATGTATGTATGTACACACACATCAGCTCTTTCCACCAACTTAAGCCTCGTCTTTGTCCAGCTTCGTCTCCTTTCGGATTTTGTCAGAGGAACTTTTCGCCTCTGGCACAGAGGAGATCCCTGCATTTTGCACATCAGCTGCATCCAGTGCCCGGCATTACGGGCCCTTCGCGCTGTTGCTCCCTTCGCAGTTGACGGTGCCTCGAAAGTCGAAAGTCGACACACACACACACACACAGACACACAGACGCACAGACACACACACACACAGACACACAGACTCACACACACACACACACACCTGGTAGTTAGCAAATCTGCTTTTATGTATAATACAGACATCGACATAGATGTAGAAACAAAGAGAGAGAGAGAGAGAGAGAGTTATATATATATATATATGTGATATCGGTATAGGTGTATACACGCACATATTAGATACACATGCATTACACGCACTTGTAGACATGTTTGTAAACATGGATGCACCCATCTTCAGCCTGACAAAGCCCGACGTGACGGTCATGCTGTTGATATCTCGGCTGTGGCTCAGCAGTTTGAACGACCCACTTCACTCAATCGCTCAGCGTTGTTTGGGACGGTGTAGGGGCAAGGACGGTTACATTTCGGGAAGTGCATACAGGCGAGAGGTCCCCTTGCGACGTGGAAAGTAATCACAGGCGATCACCAAGTCCTCGAAAACAGTCATCCCCAAGCTCTGTGGCAGAGGGGAGGGCGCATGCAGCTGGTCAGGCTTTACGATCGACAGACGAGGCGTCGGACATGAAGCCCAGCTACCCTCCCGACTGGACCTTGTTGGACGTCCTAGCCTAAGGAGGAGCCGACAAGAGTCCTAAGAGGAGCAGCTTTCCTCAAACCTTATTAAACCCCTAATTAAACTAAACTCTTCTCAGGTGAAGCGATATTTGAAAGAACACAAGACCTGGCTGAAGCTCCACAGCCCGGGCCATGGCGCTTGCGCTTGAAAGGGCACCTGAGAGTTTCAAGATGCCAAGATATCCCTTGCTTCAGTTTAGGGTTTAGGGTTTAGGGGTTTAGGGTTTAGGGTTTGGGGCTTAGCCCTTAACATGGCTTTACGAACTTTCCGTGTGAGATGCTACAGCGGTTTTAGTGCTACCTCGCCCCCAAACTTCAAAGAGGCAAGTGCACAATCCGCGGCAGCATGGCTCCCATCTGACGGAAACGGTACCATGATGTACCAGGGTACCATCAATTGCGAGCCATCTCTTGAGCCAAAAAAAGAAGATTCTATATATATATATATATGTAATATGTACATAGACGATGTGTGTAGTAACAGTATGTATATACATATATGCACATACATATACAATATATATACATATATATATATATACACACACACACACACATGTATCCTCCATTTCTAGGCGCAGCGTTGGCACTCGCCTGAGGCTGGGACTCCGGGGCCTCGGCAGCGCGGCAATGGGAAGAAACCCAATTCGAATCTGAGGCACCCGGTCATGCAGCACCGGTCTGACTCAGGGTAGGGTTTAGGTTTTGGGTTTTAGGGTTTAGGGTTTAGGGTTTAGGTTTTAGGTTTTAGGTTTTAGGGTTTAGGGTTTAGGTTTTAGGGTTTAGGACTTTGGGTTTAGGGTTTAGGGTTTGGGGTTTAGGTTTTAGGGTTTAGGGCTTAGGGTTTAGGGTTTAGGGTTTAGGGTTTAGGGCCAGGGCCAGGGCCTGGGGCTTCAGGGCACATGAGGGTAAGCATGAAAGCTAGGTGGCGAGGGCTTCGGTGCTTTAGTGCTGCACGCTGATATGTCGAACAGCTGCGCAAAACATCGCGCAGCTCAGACAGTCTGCGGCTAGACATGCAAAGACATGGAGGAAAACAGCTGTCCTCGGATTCCATGTCCATCTCACTGCGCTGACGGTTTTGTGCTGCATTGCACTTGCACGGGCCGCAAGCCGAAACTTGGACAGTGCTGCAGGAGGGAATCACGCTGAAGTTGTGTTTCGGTTTCCAAAGGCATCAAGCGGGTAGGGGATCGGGAAGACGCTCGCATGACAAGACCGAGCCGGAAGTTTCGTTGCTGCTGAAACCATCCCAGATAGCAGGATCACTCCGGACTACTTCAGGTCAGATGTTTGCAGGCCATGTCAGGATAGGCTTAACATGCAGCGAGCCATGGCTCGTCACCCGATTAGCCATCATGTCAAGATGCTGATCCATTTTCGACATGAGCCGCGGTGAGCATGTCAACACCTCAGAGGTGCTCGCCAGATTCTTCTGTAGGATTGCTAGATGGAGTTGCGATGCAGTGTTTCTTATGCGGGAGGTTCGGGGGACGGAGTGGGACGCTTCGAATAGTCCTTGTCACTTGAGCACGCGCAAGAAAGACACCGTGGCCTCTTCTTGGAATCCTTTCCTGGACCCGAGCCCGAGGCTTCCTAGCCGTGGCGGCCATCAGCGTGCCCCTCGAGGTGTCAGCCCTCACACAGCACATTTTGGACAAGCTTTGGGGCCTTTGGTTACCTCTGGCTTGAAGTTGATTGGGCTGGAATGCTGCTCGGAAGAGCAGGCCCGCGATTCAACTGTGCTACATTCATGCTTCGGCAGCTGCTGCTTTCCGGCCGTTTCTGCATAGCCACTGACGTCTGTGCTCTTCGCTAGGCCGCCTCGGGCCGTGTTTCTGTTGCACTGGGCGCCGCGAGGGGTGGCGACGTGAGAGGCACAAGGGAACGAAGATGCACGAAGTCAGTGCCGTGTGTGTGATGCATCTGCCTGAGTCGGGCGAAACATTCTTTCTCTCGCCTAACTCAAGCTGACAGACTGGATAGCGGATATCGGATACTGGTTGGAATGAAAGACACCAGCCACACTTCAGCAATCACGTTAATTGGATGTTGAAGGATCCGTAACCGCAGGCAGTGGCGTGTAGTGACATTCTTGTGCCCTGCCCTGCGAATCATGTCTAAAGCACGCATGATACCCGGTTATCACCTCTGAAGTATAGAGTATCGGGATCCCGTTTGCTGTGCCGCAAAATCGGCCAGAGCGGTACCATGACTACTTGTACCATGCAGCTTCATAGTTGGACTTAGAGCACCGCTGCCCGAGAAGCCATGGCGACGGATCCAGGCACGGCCAGGCACCTGGGACTCCTCGCGAAGAATCTTCGGATCTACGGTCCAGACCAAAGGGTGCACAGTGAAACTCTGACTCACTTGGGAGTTTCCGAAAATATGGGGTACTTTCTTTTGGGGTCCCTGTAAGAAGGATCCTACTATTTAGGGTACTATATTAGGGTCCCCTATTTTCGGAAACCCCAACTTGTGCTTGGGACAGCCTCGAGTCTGTGTCTTATGGCCAACTCCAGCTCGTGTCGCAGGAACGGAGCTTGTGGCTCTGGGAGCAACGGCCGTGAACGAAGCAGAAGTCCCCAAGGCACCGGCATGTACATGTAAGGAGCATGTTGCAGCATCCAGATGCCAAGTGCGACATGAGCGCATCTCGCCACGCTGCTCAAGCTGACTGTACGTCTCAAGATGTCGAGCATTGTGCTTCAAGTAGCACATGCAGAGCGTACGTAAGTGTCATCCAGTGCAGTTTGGGGCACATGCTCAGGTACACATATCCAACAAGCATCTCAGTAAGTGGACCGAACCTCTGGCTCAGGTAGTGGCAAGGGCAATGCTGAGGCTGGGACTCCCGAATCACGCTAAGTCTATGCCCACCTTGGTCTGCACATCTACCCAAGGTCTTCGCAGGCGATGCAGCAGAAAGTGCTGAGGCCGGAACACACAAGGCGGCGTTCATAGCATGTCATGCGGTTTTAGATAGTGATATACTCCATGAGGCGGTGGCCCCATGCGCCGGCGTCCCTGCCCAGCAACCTGCCCTACCTGCAAATGGCACACCTGCCGGTCTCGGGCTGCCGGGCAGTCCAGGGGCGCCGTGTCCGCCCTGCGGGCCTTGCATGCTGGCTAAACCAGACCTCAGTCCACTGTAGACCGTAACCGCCGTCCACATCCACGTGCACCTTCGATTCCTGTAGTTGTGTCATTTCCTGCCCAGGCATGGGCCCCTGCGCGACGGGACCGTGTATGAATCCAATGCTGCAGATGCAGCAGATGCAAATGATGCAAATGCAGCAGATGCAGCAGTGCCTCGCGATGCAGGAAGTCATCACAAGACGCGCACGCGCGCTGCATGGTAGGTGCATGGTGCATTACTGAGGATGGTTGGCATGGGGATGATGATGGGCAACATGCTTCGTGGCTAGAAATTCAGAGGGTTCAGGGTGCCCCCACGCAGTACCTACCTGCCCACCGTGCCAACTCAACCACAAGCCGCAAGCCCAAACATCCCCCGGACCAGACTCAGAGCTGAAAACACAGAGCTTATTATGTGAGGTTCAACATGATGGGCGCCGGCGGTGTGCCTGCAGTGCCCGGGGTGCCTGGAGTGCCATCGGTGCCCAGCTTCGATCCCATGGCCCTGATGGCCACGGGGGCGCAGGCCGAGGAGGAGGAAGAGGAGCCACGCAGGGTGGGGAAGATGGTTCCCACCCTAAACCCTAAACCCTAAACCCTAAACCGTTCAGAGCATTGCACAGTGGTCAGGTGCACTTCACGGTAGGAAGCAGGATGATCTGTAAACGCAGGACTCAGGGGATTTGCTGAAGATCCGGGGTGCTACAAGTGTCAGGGACAGCACACACCCTAGTATAGGGGCCTTAATAATTACCTATCCTGTTTTGGGGATTCCTTAATATAGTTATAGTATAACACGGCAGAGTTGTTGAAGTTTCTGCAGTCGGCAGTGCTGTGGCAGTAGGAAGGTTTCATTTGTAGGTCGCGGTGTTTTGATGTGGCCGTCCTCATGTCTCTCCATGTAATCAGCTAGCAACACGCAGCAGTGTCGACGTGATACGGTTGATGATATAAATCCTGCATTACCCATAATCAGGAATGTACCATAACTTTCATAGTTTAGGGTCCTTAAGTAAGGCAAGATTTATATCATCAACAGTAGTAGCGAAGGAGCACTCACATTGCTGAGTACGGCCGCAGGTTCGATAGCTTTGCGCCTGCATTCTTGGAGTCATGAGGGGGCTACTATAGGGGCCTTAATAATTACCTATGAAATTTTGGGGGTTCCTTAATAAAGTTATAGTATAATATACCCCAAAACCATCCAACACCCAATTCTAATTATTAAGGTCCCTACATTATGGGCAAGGAGATGTTCACGCCAACAAGCATAATATGATCACTCATCTCTGCCGACCCTCATAGCACAGGAGGTCGACGTCCCTCCAGGCCTGGGTGCATGTGTGGCTTTGGGAGGTTTGGACTGCGCATGTTGAGGGGTACGCAAAGAATCAAGCTTGGACCGTATCTCGATGTATGCACCTAGCAGATGCCTGAGATCCTAAGATCATCTGCGGAGGGTATCTTCAAGGTGTGACGTTCCTTCGCCACCCCGTGATCTCCAAGGCCCCTCGTCGACAGTCGGCCACCCAAACTACCGCCCTCCGGACGCGGACCAGACCCTTGCCTGATCCGGAATCGGGCCCTGCTTTAGAGTCTGATGATGCCGAAACATGTCGGAGACAGGGTTTGGGCATGTTTAGGCACCTGTGAGTGTGCAGTCCTTCGACTACTTGGAGGATCATGGGACTTAGTAAGTATGGTTATAAGTACCTCAAGTGGGCTTATAAGTAGTTATAAGTATAGTTACCCTAATACTAACCTTAGTTACTAAGTCCCATGATCCTCCAAGTACAGGCTGCAAGCCCTGCGCAGCTGAGGATTCCCGGGGTCACCGACAAACGGTTCGAAGGTTTAGGGTTTAGGGTTTAGGGTTTAGGGTTTAGGGTTTAGGGTTTAGGGATGGACTTCGTGTTCTTTTCCCAGCGCTCTTCAAGGGGGTTCCCATTTCACCACTGATGGGCGGATGTTGATGGGGTAAAGAACCCTAAACCCTAAACCCTATAAAGTTGGCACCAATGCCACCATACATCGTACCGGAGTAATAGCGCAAATTGCAACTTTTCCAGTCTTGTGTGATGGAGCCGGCTTTTGCTAATGTCATTCTGGAAGAGTGCAAATGTCCCTGGCTCGTCTCCAAAAAGTAGGGACCCTAAACCCTATACCGTAAACCCTAAACCCTAAACCCAAATCATGGGGATCATGAGGAATCGTGGGCCCCCCACCAGAACTGGAAGATGCCACAGAGAGAGCGGAGGGGGATCGGGAAGTTGCATGCTCGTGTTTTCACCGCCGGTTTTGGTCGCTCTTAGGCAATCGGCCATGGATTGTTATATGGACTAATAGTGTTATTGTCATGATTGTTACGATTACTCTTATGATGACTATCATTTCTATTATATACAACACTGCATCGGATGTAGTTCGTCTCGGATCTCGACCCCAGTCCGACCCGTCTTGTGCTACAGCTTTGAGTTCGGCATAGATGCAGGTCGTGAGAGAGATACCAGGTTGCGGTTACGTGGATCCATGATCAGACTTCATAGGCAACCCCTTATTATTATGATGGTGATGATTATTATTATTACTATCCTTATTATTATAGTATTCACTCAGTTGTCTTTCTTCTTCACTCATCACTCGTCCTTTCGCCAATTGCGGCGACTTACCCAGTGGCATGGCCGCCCCGGTCCACTGCCTTCCTATAACTTCGTTCCAGGTCATCTGACTGATTGCATTCTGCTACATTCGTGCTGCTGGCATCTGTGCTAGACGACAGGATGCTACTGAGATCGCAGCAAGTAGCAGCAGATTCTTTACGCTTGGCAGCACGGCTGCGGGACAGTGTTCCTTCGAAGTGCCAACGATGCGGGATTCGTCTGCAGCCTTTGTGCAGGCAAGATCCGATTGTGGTGGGACTCGAAAGGCCATGGCTTAATTGAATGCGAGGAGGCGGGCAGCTGAACATGTCAGACAGTTGAACATATCGGCGGCTTCCCATTGAAAGTTCCTGGTTTTAGAGGTCCGGCTCAAGTTTCCGGGCCAAGACGGCGTGTTCCTGCACGACAGCCAGAGAAGGCCCAGGGCGGCAGGGCACAGACTTGAGTTTGAGCCTTTTTTCGTCGGAGTCCGCAGGCACTTCAAGAAAGGTGATGAGGTCACCTTTGCAGTGCTGCTTGTTTGCCCTGGAGCCCTCATCGCAAGCTGGGTTTTTGCTGCTGCAGCAGAGATCCCCCATGTTCTCAACTTGTGGTCCACTACACATGGGAAAGAGAGCTGATCATGACTCAACGAGCCCAGGTTTGTGAACTTCCGAGGGAGGCCGCAAGCGACTGAGCTAAGACGCATGAAGCCCGACGAGAAGAGCTGATGCAAAAATGTGGGTTTAGGGTTCAGGGTTTGGGGATGTGGGCAGCTGCCAAAGCTTCCGAAGCTGAGACCTGATCGAAGCAAGCCACGACGGCTCGGTGGCCAGGCGATCTCTGCGACCCCCACCAGCCGGGCCCTGGGGAATATGATCTGGGTGCGTGGAAGGTTGGTGCTTGCGGCAGTCAACAGAAGCTGGAGCTTCCGAGGTCTCTTAAGCTGTGCTTTGGTTCTTTGCTGGTGCCTCTTCCAAGCCCAAGGACCGCAGGCTTCGTCGTTGATCATGCAAAGTTCCTCCTTGCTTGGATGTGGTTGCTGAGGTGCTGGTGGTCCACGTGAGGGGCGGGCCTGACGGCTGCACGCTGGAGGTCCCGGACTCTCTGATCAGTGTGCTCCTGGCACTTCCATTCTGGAATCAGCCTGAGCTCAGGTGCTGAACCGGCCGGTAGCGAGGCTGGGTGAGCTTCTGGGATCATCTGGGGATGGTTTGTCAGCTTGCGGACTTGTACACATCGCTTCGCAGGCAGCCTGGTTGCTTCGTCTTCGTTGGATACCCGCGCCCTCTTGCCGGCACTCGCGTGGTGAAATTGCAGGCACGCCGGCCTGGCTAACGAAAGTCTGCTTCTTTATGGCTGTGTGTGGATGCGCTCCGAGTACCGCACGTGCCTCTTCTAGCTTCTGGCAAAGCCACTACAATCACTATTGCACTTGCCCAGTGCCATCTCCAGAATCGTGACAATGCCTGCTGCTACTGCTGCTGCAGCTGCTACTTTTCGATTATGACGACGAGGACGAGTAGGAATTGGGGGAGGGGGAGGAGGAGGAGCAGGCGGAGGAGGAGAAGGAGGAGAAGGAGGAGGACTGCCACTGCCGATGCCACCACTGCTACAGCTACTACTACGACAACGGCCACCACCACCAGCACCACTCTCAAGTCTCTTGCTGCTCCTCCTCCCCCTATGACGTGATAAAGATGATGATGGTGAGGTGGATGACGATGGGAGGATGGTGGACCCCTAGCACACCAGAAAGAACACACCCGAACCGCTGCCTGCCAGGGTGTGGAGTTCTATGCTTTCACAGCTCCACACGAGGACACCATCCAGGCCTCCTGCTGCCGAACTGCAGCTGACCAACCGTGGCCTTCGCACACGCCTCCCACAGCGGCGTGCTCTCTACTTTCTTCAGCCTTTTGCAGGTTTCTTGCTGCCTTTCGTTGCACTCTCTTCTCCATGCACCGGTCTTTAGGGCAAGCTATGCATTTCATTTTGTTCGACGGTTGTGTGCTCCCACTCGGTGCGGCTATCCCATTCACCCAATCCGTCTAAGAAAGCCCGAGCATGGCTACGACAGATTGACAGCCGTCAAACTGGTAGGCACCTTCCATTTTCATGGTGTGATGGCACATACTACTTGCAAGAGGCTCGTCAAACATGTGACTACAAATTCTAGCAAACGATGACATATATGCATCTCCGTAAGTAGTGCGGACCAAAACACGGGGACGCGAGACTCCTTCCGACGCTAACTTCAGCTTTTCCTGCCTGGCTTTCCTTTTAGCCTGCATACTGACGGCAGATTTTTGGTTGTGTTGTGATGCTACAGCTGCTGAAGCAAGTGTCAAATTCGGTTGCAGGTGGCTGTGTGGCGGCAGCTGGGAGATGTTGTCGATGCCGGTTACAGGCATGACTGATCAGCAGAGACAGCGCGGTAAGCCACAGCTGCCTCCATCTGCTGCGGACAATTAGATGGAATATGGTTTCTTGTAAGTCTCGCTTCAATACTGCCACGCCGGCACCATGAGGAAATTCTTCAAATTTTCATGGCTCTCCGGGTGCGTCCATCTGCCGTAGAGGTATGAAATGAGGGCCTCTTGCCTACCCGAGTTGTTTGATTCCTCCGCTCATTACACCGGTCTGAGTAGATCATGAAAGAATCGGGCGGACTATGTAGAATATGTATATGTATGTGTATATATAATATGTAGTATTGTTATATAAACAAATAAAGAGACAAACGCATACATCACTAAATCCATGAATACAATTATGTAGGGCTTATCTCTACAGTCGGCTTACGCGAGGCAGCCCGGCGAGTCGTCTCCTTTCAATGCATGCGACCCGGCGTAGTGCATGCGCAGCCATGAGACACTTGCAGCCGACGGAGTGTGAGAGTACTGACCGCACGGGGCGCCAGAGTTTCGGAGCGGTTCGGAGCTTCCTGCGGCTTCATTTGGCTCATTACGAGCAAGAGTACTGCAAGGGTCATTCAGCGCTCTTCTACTTGCAAGGCAATCAGACCAGTCCTCCGACGATGCCTGCCGGCTCGATGTACCTTTACATGCTCTATATACCGTCTAACTATGTACCCATTATGTATCTATCTATCTATCTATCTATCTATATCTATCTATCTATCTATCTATCTATCTATCTATCTATACCTACATATATATATATATACACAGATGTGAATGTATAGATATATATATATATACACACACACACCGATCACTGACTCCGTGCGAAAGGTCCAGCAGGTCTGCAGCGGTGACTCCTTGAGCCCCGGGAGGTGCTGATGGGGAGCGGCAGATGCGATCTTTACCAAACCATGGCCATGCCAGGGTTATGTGATATCATGGTCTAGTATTCTGTAGTATCGTACAGTATAGTATGGTAAAGTATTGTATAGTACGGTATAGTATAGTATAGTATGATAAGTAAGTACAGCATAGTATAGTGTGCTGCCAGGATAGGGGCAAGGGTCGGCCCTCTTGCTGACCTCTACCAGCGCAAGGAGTTTGACAGGACATCCCGCTTCTTCCGGGCCTACAACTTATCGATGCTAGGAGCTAGGAATGCTGGCCTTCTTGGGTTTAGGGTTTAGGGTTTAGGGTTTAGGCCCACAGCTCAAAAGAAGCGGCCCCAGACAAAACGTCACCAATCAAACTCGAGTCAGCTTGCCTGGACTTGCACACTTGGCAGGACGGCTTGGGTTTATTGGGAATCCTTCTGGGTGCCCACAACGCTGGCAGGCAGGACTTGCTGTTACATGCTTGGCACCTGTCAAAGAGCCTTCGCAAAGCACACAGACAAGTATGCACTCTAATATTTTTATGCATACTATATACACTATCTACATATATATATATATACACTATAGATACTGTGCATACATACATATGCGGGTGTGTGTGTGGGGTGACCATATATATACGTATATACACAAATGTACGCACTATATATCTAGTGTAGGTGTGTATACACGCAGCACACACACATATGTATAAATATAAATATATATATATATATATGTATACATATAATTATACAGATATATATATATATACACACATACACATGTGCATACACATACATACAGTGCAAAAAACCGAGGTCCATCCATCTATCTAATTGTCCATCTGTCTATTTATCTATCTATCTGTCTATCTGCCTATGAGTCTATCTGTCTCGTAGTCTCGTAGAGTATACACAGCCGCTGAGAAGCAGGTGCCAAAGGCTCAGCTGCCAAGTCGAAGCCCCAGTTCTAGCGAGAGACAGCGGAGAACACCCAGAATAGGGTTTAGGGTTTAGGGTTTAAGGTTTAGGGTTTAGGGAGAACACCCAGAATAGAGCATGTTCCTTAGTTGCACGTCATGCAAATGCCGACGCAGATGAGTTTCCAAGCGCAAGGGCTGTTTCGCAGTTGTGGGGAGAGCCGATGACAGCCGACAGCTGCATACCTCAGAAGAGGAGATCAGAAAGAGCATGTCAATCTCGAGGCCATTGTTCAATCTTGCCACTGTGGCGCCGGCTGGAGCAGAGGTGCGTAATTCATCTATAGTTCCTGGACATCCATATTTTGCTTTGAAACTGTGTGCAATTCCGTGTCCAGACGTCTCCCGAATACTCGGACGTGGGTGCAGGCACAAAGAAATGGCCCGGATCCAGCACAGGCAGCCAAAACAGAGGACCGGAGCTTGGAGCGTTTCTCACATGCGTGAGGATATCGGGCCTCTCTACAGCAAGGAGGCTCTGCAATTCTAGGCACCACTGCACCATTCGGTGTCGGGCACGCCGCAAGATGTGCTCGGCAAGCCTTCACTTCTGCAAAGCAGGACACTGGAACGGCCCTGTCGAAGGCCAGTGCTACAGCATGGAGCCGGCTAGCAAGAAGCAGCCAAGACCTCATTGGCCCGAGATAAAGCAGGCTTTCGCGTTGTGTTAAGCAGTTTCAGCTTTGAAATCTTGTTACATTATATTCCACTATGTTATTTTACGTTGTATTGTATGGTTTTATATGATAGGCAGCTGGGTGAGGCCGTAGTGTTATGGTTTCCGGTCAGGCAGAGGCCTTCTCTGAGATCTACAGAAGGAATGTCTGCCTGACACGTGCTCGGCTTTGGGGCTGTGGAATCTTGGGGTGGGCCGCCGACAATGGACATTAATATACTATCAGACAAAATATTAAATATACATGGATATATGTATGCAAATTATGTTATAATGTACAAGTGTAGTATAGTATAGTATAGTATAGTATAGTATAGTATAGTATAGTATAGTATAGTGCAGTATAGTATAGTATAGCATAGCATAGTATAGTATAGTGTAGTAGAATGATGTACAGTATAATATAGCATAAGATGACACAGCTTAATATTATGTGATGCACCGTGATATACTATAGCATACCATACTACACACCACAAAATACTATGAAATACTAGAACATACTGTAATATACGCTATTTACGAGAATGTACTATCATATAGCTCAATATATTTTAATACACTGTAATATACTAGAATGTAATATACCCTATTTACGATAATATACTAGAATATAGCGTAATGTACCTTAATACCACTGTAATATACTAGAATGTAGTATAAGTCTTCAATATCGGGGTTGGCTCCCTTCGGTTCAGAAGTCGTGGTGCTCTGCTTGCCAGGTCTGGCCCGGACTGCTTTCCCGCTCCGGGCCAGGGTCCGGATCCCTGACTTTCCGGTCTTCTGGTTCAGGGTTTAAGGTTTCTTTAGGGTTTAGGGTTTAGGGTTATTATTATGGGCTTAGGGTTTAGGGTTCAGGGTTTAAGGTTTCGGTTTCAGAGAAGGGCGTTTTTGGAGTGTAAGCATCCAACGAGGCGCAATTGCAGGAAAGCCGGCCAACTCATCCTTACACCACGGGGTCCCCATCGGATCTAGGCTTGAGGGCAGCCCGGGCTATGGGAACGGCATGCTGTGGCGACAGATCACGGCAGATCGTCTTGAGATGCACTGTGGTGAACGGATGAAGCGGGCAAGACCGGCGCCATGAAATGGATTGCAGCCCCGTTTGGCTAAAGCCGCAATCGCCTGCCAAGCTCTTTCGTTCTATGCCTTCTGTCATCTTGCAGCCAGACGCACAGCCACTCTGCGACGATAGGTACGCATCCCTGCCGTCATCGCTGGTTTGACCGGCCGCAGATCATGATACAGCCAAATCCCATGCACCACGAACTCACCTACACTCAGCGGCTTCCAAGCTAATTTGGCTGCGAGGCTCCAGCATGCAAAGCAATCCTTCCTATTGAACCCCGCAGCCGTAGAATCGTTTTGCGCTGCGGACTGCTGGTGCTTCCGCTGAAGACAAAGCGCTTCAGTCCAAGCCAAAGCCTCAGCCTATCTTCCGTGCGACAATTGTCATCGAGTGATTCCTTGCTGATAGAATTGAGCTTCCAGTGCCCGACCGATAGACTGCGGAAGTATGGGGAAGCACCTCGCTTCTGGGTTCTTGTGTGGTTCAGGCAAGACAGCTCCGGACTCATGCGCCAAGCTTAGATCGCCAGGATACGTGGGTAAATGCATGTGTAAATGAAGTATCACGCAGCACCGTTGCAAGTACCTTCAGCAGCACTGGAACTGGAACAGCAGGCGCATTATGCGATGCTGCGCATGCCACGGTAGGGCAAACAAGGCGAGATGGCAAGGTCTCGGTGTACTCCAAAGATGAAGCCAGTGAAGCCGCGACGCTCTTAGCTTCACAGTCCCCACAACGTGTCAAAATGTCCTGTGTTGTTACTTTGCAAAATCCACTCGAAGTAATCGCAGTCGAAAACACATCCCAGGCTCCGAGGGATCGTGCCTCTGTGCTGGCGGGGGCGCAGGAGCGAGAACCCTACACGTGATGGGTGGGACATGGTGGGACCCTGTCATAAGGGTTCATGCCAACAGACGTGGGTGACCCTCCTCGCAGCGAGCAGGGCAGCCTTCAAGAGCCTCTATCGATGACGTAAGTATTGAGCGAGATCTGATGATACTGTTGCAGGACGCCTTATTCTCACCTTCAAGCCCGGAGGTGCAGCTGCTGTGGGTGGCTTTCAGATATACTACTACAAATACAAAGTGGATGACAACTTGGAAGCACTTCTCACTGGCAAAGCAAGCCTTGTTGAGGCAGATCCGATTGCGTTTCAGCACAGTGTTGGTGCGCTGCGTGAGCCAGCACGGATGTGTTGCATCAGATTAGAACATATTGACCACGAGGTGCGGAAGCAAGAGGCACTTCTTGAAGGCGATGAAGGCCTTCCGTCTTCCCACGGCGGGAAGCTCGTGAGTCAATTCCAACTATGTAGGTGACGACGACGACAGCGAGCACTTTGAGGATGCTCAGCATGCAACAAGACTCAGCAACGTGGGATAATTACTCCATCGAATGGGCATCTCAGAAATGCGGAAACATCTCTGTTTGGGGTAAAGGGAGCGCAGCTCTCAGTGCCATGGCTGAGGAGAACGGTGCAGACTACTTCGAAGAGGATCATCCAGAAGAGGATCTGACTTGACACCTTCCGTCGCCTTCTCCAAGCCCTGAATCCGAAACACGATGGTGAGGATCCAGAAGACGACGAGGCTGTTTACCTCTCGGAGGTGCCTCGGTTTCCGTTCATATCGGCGTTATCAGGATAATTGCTTCAAGTACTACTGGGCAACAACGACAACAGCAGCAGCCTCAGCAGCAACAACAACTACTACCACCACCACCGCCGCCCCACCAACACCATCGCAATAACCACAACAACAGCAGCAACTGTCGCAACAGCAACTGCAACTGCAAATGAAGATCAAGAGCAGCAGCAGCAGCAGCAGCAACAACAACAACAACAACAATAAGGACAGCAAGAACGGCAACAAAAGCGGCAACAGCAGCAACCGCAGCAGCAGCGGCAGCAACAGCAACAGCAACAGCAGCAGCACCAGCAACAGCAACAGCACAAGCACAAGCACAAGCACAAGCACCAGCACCAGCATCAGCATCAGCATCAGCATCAGCATCAGCATCAGCATCAGCATCAGCATCAGCATCAGCATCAGCATCAGCATCAGCATCAGCATCAGCATCAGCATCAGCATCAGCATCAGCATCAGCATC